CCCCAAAACCCCAAAACCCCAAAACCCCATTTTACTAGAATATAAATAATTTTGACAATTTTGAAATAAAAAAGCACTTATAAGTTCACTTATGAGTTTAATATAAAATCATTTTTAAGTTGAAATAAATGAAATTTTCAAAAGCAGGTAATTTTTCCTCTTCTATTATTCATTCAGTCAATGAGAAGGCCTCATTAAGGTCATTTAATTCTAGAAATCCAAAGACAGAACCATCTTTTATTTCATCTCTCCAAAGATTTGTAATTCTATCCAGCATTTCAACATTGATCATTAGCTTTCCTTAAGTGCCTTAATTATCAATAGTGTTTATATAAACCTTATTATTTCTTTCACCTCCACCCATTATTAGTACATCTTAATTTCCTTCCATGTTAAGATAATTAAAGGAAACAGCTGTGAAAATCGTGGGGCCTGTGCCATGGAATGTAGAAGCAGCGGTTCTATATGAGCATAAATTTTGATATAAAGGTCTTTCCTCAACCCCTTTTTCATGTGTTTTAAATTAGCTTACCATATAGTGCAATTATTTCCTAAGTAGAATATGACCTGGTTTTGCCCCAAAAATTGAGTTACTAATGCCTTTGAGTGTTCTTAACATATTGAAATATTGACCAAAGAAATCGAAATAGTGATGAATATCGTAGTTCCATTTCCATATTATCAAATCGTTATCAAAATAAATACCCCCTATTTCTAGCACTGCAACAATTCTAATTAGATCACTTGCAGCTACAATGGCTTAGTTGTCTTAAATATAATAGTTATATTATCTCTAAAATTTTTCATCATGAAAGTATTTAAGTTCCTATAGTTCTCTAACGATTACTCCATGATTTTAAAATAAAGTAATTGTATCGGGGATTATATGTTTATTCTACACCCAAAGATAATGAATCCATTTATATCCTTCTTATCTAGCACCATCATCTAAAACTTAATAAGAAGAGCCAATATCATTCAGTATTCCTCTAGATAATTTATCCTTGATTTCTGAAGGAGAGTTTATATCTGTTAACCATACTCTATGAGATATTAAAGGTATCCGAAAGGCCTAACTTTTTTTGTATAAAATCTAATCGCTTTCGAATATTTTAGGATTAGCAAACCTTCTTATATACGTTGCATATTCCGTAAGAGTGCCATTAATCTTATCATCCTTCATTATTTACCTCGTTAATTCTCTTTCAGTTATATATTCAGTTCCAAAGTAAGGTGTTTTTGGGAAGAGGCAGAAATCTAGAAAATTAGAAGTTGTAAGGGTAAGTTTTTAAGCAAATGTTAGTCGTCCATGTACTTAGTAGGAATCTTCAAAAATAAAGCAATTTTATTTTGTCCCACCGCAATATGCTAATAGCTAGGCTAGATATAAAAAGTGTATAAATATTAAAGTTCTCATCTTTATTAAACTAATAAATTTTAAATTCTTTCTTTATCTACTTTACTTTACACTCATATATATTTCCATT